AGTTATTCTGATGAAATTACAACATGTAAAAAACTTGGGCTATATGACAGAAAGTGTAAACTAACTGATTCACTTTATACTTACAATGGCTACATTGACTACTCATGTCCATGTTCATCCACAAAATCAAATTGTGAAATATCACTATTTTCATCTCAACCTACTTACCAATATCCTTCTGGACTCCAACCAACTACACTAATACTAGAAAGTAACACTGCACTAACATCAATAAACAATGTTGTATTCACTCTTCAAACAAGTTTATCTTCGCTGACACTCTCAGGAAATAGTTCAGTAATCTCAATAAGCTCCTCTGATATTTCTTCTATTATACTAACAATCACTTCATTAGAAGATGGATTTATTCTTCACTCACAAGTAAAACCAATGACAATTAATACAAATGCACTACTAAAATCAACAAGTAAAAGCTATGATTTGATTTTAGGAGAAACTACTTCATTATGTGATTACTATTTGTTCAAAGAAGGATCTGTTCTCTGTCAGAAATGTAAAGAAGGATCTGTTCTTATTAACAATGTTTGTTATATATCTCAAGACATTCCACATTGTACAAACTATGTTAAAACAACATCTGGAATTGGATGTCGAGAATGTTCATATGGATATTATTGGAAACAAGGAACTTGTTCTAAGTGTTCTGAAAGTAATTGCATTGTCTGTAAAGATAATGACGGTACATGCATTGAATGTAATGAAGGATATAAATTAATGAATGGAGTATGTACTGCTGTTACTCCTGAAAGTACAAAGTGCCTTTATTTCAAAGATCATTGTTATAAATGTTCTAATCACCTATCGGTGTTATTTGAGTCTACCAATTATTGTGCCACATGTGACGATGAGTGCTCTAGTTGTAAAATCACTACCGACCGATGTACTATATGTAACATAGATAAAAAATATATTTCAGTATCAGGACAATGTTCTCTTGACCAAACAGCAGATTTAGTTTCAAATGACAATATTATTTCATGTACGTCTAATTATTATTTAAATTCTAGAGAATGTGTTGCTTGTTCAAAGAAATTTAAGGATTGCAATACATGCACTGAAAAAACATGTACTAGTTGTTCTTCTCCCAATGCTATTAATAAAGATGGGTCATGTGAAGTGGATCCAAATTGTAAAGTGTATGAAAACAACCAATGTTCTGTTTGTAAAGATGGATATTTCAAAACATCAGAAGGAATTTGTTCTAGTTGTGGAACTAATTGTATTAAATGTACAGATTCTGACTTTTGTCTTGAATGTAGTGATTCATATTATCTAACAACCATGGGAAAGTGTACAGTCAATGAATTACCAAATTGTGAATATAGTTCTACCAAAGGATGTACTCGTTGTTTTGACCACTTTTATCTTGACTCTGATGGAAATTGTCAACCGTGCAGTAACACATGTCTAACATGTTTTAAAAATGCTTCTTTTTGTACTTCTTGCCCAACAGACTATTACTTGGATCAAAGTACATGTGTTACTGATAAAAATAACTCTGTTAAATGCTCACATATATTACCAGGAGGTAAGTGTGCTATTTGCAATATTGGTTATTATAACTTAAATAGTAATTGTCATGAATGCTCAGTAAACTGCACCACATGTCAACGGGAAGCTAGCGGTTGTATTGAGTGTGGAGAAAATTATTATCGTTCATCATCACAAAACAAATGTTTATCACAAGATGACCTTGTTTATTGTATTTCAAAAAATTCATGGGGTTGTTCTAAATGTCTTGATGGAACATACTTGTACAATGGTGAGTGTTATTTGTGCCCACATAATTGCACGAATTGTATATCATCAAGTGTTTGTAGTTCATGTGGTAACGAAACAGTATTGAGAAATGGAAAATGTGTACCATTAGAAGCAATTGTCAATTGTATAGAAACATCAAATAGTAAATGTTCTAAATGTTCATTAAATTATAAACCAACAGAACTTGGAGATTATTGTGAATTCCATTTAAATGTTTTAATTGTTATTCTTCCAATTATTGGATTTATTATTATTTTAATTATTGTTCTTTGTATGGCTATTATTCTCATTAATTCTATTACTAGATACACTGCAAATAAACAACGAGAAAAAGAATTTACTTCATTTAAAATGTCTAATTCATCAATTCACTTTGTTCCATTATCAAACGGAAGCTACTTGATGGTCAATAAGAAAGAAATAAACTTTACTGAAAATAGTGTGATTCCTGTAGGTCAAGAAACTAAAACATTATTGTGTATTGGAAATACAAATAGAGTTATAATGAAAGTACAAATTACTAATAAAACTGATTGTGAAAGTAAATATGGAATAAGAAGTGAACCACAACTAGCATTTATTAAACCAGGAAATGCAGTTGAATTTAATTTATTTGTAAAACCATATTGCACTTGTAAAGTTGATGATCCAATTCTTATTGTCTCTTCAGATGTTAAAAATAATAAAGAAAAAATATATCAACTCCAAGTAATATTTGAAACACAAATATCAACACGACTTGATCCAGATGAAATAAAAGAAGAAAAGAAAATAGGAGAAGGATCATTTGGAATAGTATATCTTGGAACGTTCAAAGGCAATAAAGTTGCAATTAAGAAAATGAAACAAATTGAAGAAAATGAAAATAAAATGAAAGAATTTGAGAAAGAAGTAATGATGTTAGATAAATTTAGAAATGAATATATCATTCATTTTTATGGAGCAGTATTTATTCCTAATAAAATATGTATGGTAACAGAATATGCAGAACACGGATCATTACAAGATATAATTAATAAAAAAACAGAGAACGAAATACCAATGAATCTAAGAATTAAATTTATGATAGATGCTGCAAAAGGAATAGAATATCTTCATTCAAATGGAATACTACATCGAGATATTAAACCAGATAATTTTCTTGTTGTATCACTTGATGATAACATTGAAGTTAATTGTAAATTAACAGATTTTGGAGCATCAAGAAATGTTAATATGATGATGACAAATATGACATTCACAAAAGGAATAGGATCACCAAAATACATGGCACCAGAGGTGTTGGATAGAAAACATTATAAAATGCCATCAGATATATATTCCTTTGCAGTTACAATGTTACAATGTTTTACATGGCAAGACCCATTTCCTAAAACACAATTCAAATTTGCTTGGGATATAGCTGATTTAGTGGCTAATGGAAAAAGAACTAACCAAATTGAAAAAGTAACAAATCAACAAATTAAAGACTTGATTATTAGAAGTTGGGAACAAGACACTAGAAAAAGACTGAATATTACTGATATTTTAAATAAGTTAAAAACTATAGAAATTGAAAATTAATTGAATTGTAAAAATAAAGAATTTTTTAATTATTGAAAAAATAAACTTTAAAGAAATATAAAAAATTTTATGGAATAACTTCAATAGAATTGTTAAAAGATGGATAATGGAAATCTTCTACAGTAAGCTTTCCTGAATCAATTAATTGTTGAATTTCAGGAATTTTATCTTGAAGCATTTTAATGTATTCTTTGACTGTTACACATACCTCTTTAAATCCATCATCTCCCCACCATTTTGATTCATTAGCATACATACATCTTCCACCACATAATTCAAATACATCACACTCTTCTTTATTACATGGGGAAAGTAAATGTGCTTTATCTTTCATATCTTTTTCATTAAAATCATCGTTTTGAATCTTACCATAAATGTCTTGATCAGGAGCAATTGGACATCCAGTAACATCACCATTTGTAGCAACATTGAATGATGAAAATCCTGAACCACATCTAACTCTTGTCATTTTTTCTCCTGTTAAAATAGAATAAACGATTGCAGTAAATGGAGCAATTCCTTGAACCTTACCATTGTTTTTCATTTCATCAACCCATTCATCAATTAATCGATGAAGACCTGGAAGATAATTAGTATCTCTCCATTCTAAGAATTTAAAATCCCAAGAAACATAAGCAGGTGCATCCCAACAAACATCTAATTGCCAATGGATATGATCAAATAATTTAGTATTAATTAAATAATTAACGTCTCGGAAAATATCAGATCCTTTTGAAATAGTCATACGAGCAATAAGATCACCTTTATATCCATTCAATTTAATTAACTTAACATTTTCAATTGCTTTTTCATATGTACCTTTTCCTCTTTTATTATTTGTAACTTCAGCATTACCATCAACACTTATAAGAATAGTTCCCATTTTATTAATATATTCTGGTTTTAATGTATGAAGAAGAGTTCCATTTGTTTGTAAAACGAATTCAGCATGAGGCATCATATCCATAACTTGATAAATTATTTGTGGACGTACAGTTGGTTCACCACCATAGAAACAAACAATTGGATCACTATCTTCAGAAATTCTATTAAGATATTTTAGGTCATAATTAATTTCCATTGGCCAAGGATTAAGGTCTTCAATCTCAGTGTCATAAACTTCATCACTTCCACAATACTTACATCTAAGGTTGCAAACTTGAGTTAAAGTAAGGAACCAAATCTTTCTTCCGTCCATTACTTATTTGATTTTGTATTTGATCTAGGGTTTGTTAAATAACATTAACTTAACATCTAAATACTTTTCGAAGAAGTTAAACTTCTTAAGTCATGTTTCTCTCTTTTTATTTTTCAGTAGTAAAAGAAACCCTGTTTTTTATGAATTGAAGAACACTGTTATTGAACTAACACAATTAAGATAAACAAAACAATCAATCATACCAACTCTGCTTCACTAGAACTCTCTTCGGACATTGCATTCTTTTTCTCTCTGTCCATAGCGTGTTGTGTTTCATAATCTTCAATTAAATCATTTATCCCAAAAGAATGGTCACATCCTGCAACTGGACATTTAATAGTTTTATTACGTCCAATTAAATTATAAATAGCCTCTTTTGAAAATACATGTCCACATACTTGTGCTTTAACTGGATTAACAAATAGTTTTTTAGTTAAAGGACATATAAATGAACGTGTGTTTGAAATAATAATTCCTTCATTCTCATCTTCGAAATAAGGTTCACTATGACGAGCATACCAAATCCTTCGTTTCATTTCTTTGATTTTAGGGTGATCATCTCCAATAGTTTCAGTATTATTAATAACACTTTGTTTGTATTCTGCTTTAAAAGCACGTTCATCTTCAATTGCATCTGGATTATCTTGTGACCTTCTTAATGCTGCAAGATGTCCATTTAATTTACTCTCTAATTCTAGCATTGATTTTAATGTTTCTTTATATTGTTGAAGTACATTAGGATCAGGGACTTCTTCAGTTTGTGTATATGTTTCTGCACAATCGATTAATGACTCTATATATTCATTTATTCGTTTACGATTTTTTTCATTATCATGAATAGTATCAATAACTTCGGCTTGTGACATGATTGTTGTACGTACTTTTTTTAAGTTTAAATTCCTTTTTTTCTATTTTATTTTTTTTAATTCTTTTGAACCAATTATATTGACATTTAATACTTTCTTATTCTTTTAAATAATATCTGCTTGATAGTACATTATATTCTATTACCAATTCTCTTTCTTCATTGAGCAATTCCTTTTTATAATGAAAGATAAATTAAAATCAGTAAGTAACCAAATAAAAAAACTAACAAAACTATTAAGAATTTTGAAATATCTTCAAAAAAAAGAAACTTAAAAATTCAATGATTTCTTTTCGATCAATCTTTGAAGCAAAACCAAAACAAGAACAATTACCACTAACAGGAAATACTACACTTGATTCAGCACTACAACCACTAAGACAACCAGTTCCAGAAAAAGTAATAGTTTCACCTAAAATCATTAATAATTTAAATACAATAGTAACATTATTAAGTGGTGAATCTACACGAGCATTACTTAGAAGATTAACTCATCTACAAATAGTTCCAGAAAATGGAGAGAAAACTGGGAGTGTTGGAGAAGAAATAAAAATTGAATTTACATCAGTTAGTCCATTACTTAGATTAGATATCATTGGCTTAAATGGGAAATACGTTTTAGCTAATTTACCTGAAACACTAAAAGAAGTTAAATTAATTAATTTACAAGAAAATGTAGCAGAGTCAATACTTTTTGATGAAAAAAAAGAATGGAAATCATTAGAAAAATTATATATTAATTATTGTGGAATTACTTCATTAAAAAAAAATAGTTTTACACCATTCTGTTTTCCACGATTAAACTTGCTTGATATATCAAATAATGAAATTATGACATTAGAAAATATTAATGAAAGACCGTTAGATATATTAGTAGCAAATTCAAATAAAATAAATTCTATTAATATTCCTGTTGTTGGATCTATTTCTTATTTATCACTTGAAAATAATCAAATTACTAACTTGTGTCCATTTGGAATATTTCTTCAATTACGTTATCTTTCTCTTAAAAATAATCGTATTGAAGATTTAGATAACTTAAAAGAAGCGTTTTCTCGTTTATTTAATTTAAATTCTATTTCAATAGAAAATAATCCAATAACAGACTCAAAAGAAAATCTATTATTTTTATGTTCATGTCTCCCTTGTATCTCTCTTGGAATGAATTGTAAACTTAATAATAAAATTATCACTCCAACAGAAGTTGCAGAATTTATTAAAAAAGGTCCTAAAAAGAAAGAAAACATTAAGATTATTAAACAAGATATTACTGACAAAGACGTAGAAGAATATATTTCTAAAAAAATGAATGATGTTTTAAATGGTCAAATTGATGATGAAAAGTTGTTTGAAACAAGAAACTTCCTTCAAAGAATCTATGAAATTGTTGAAAATATTAAACCTAAAGAAGATATTGATGTAAATAACATTCATTTGAATGATCTCATCAATAACTGATTCTTTAATTTGTTTTATGTTATATAAATCAAAATTTTATGATCATTCATTAAAAACTATATTAATAATAAAAAAGAACTATAAAAACTATATTAAAAAAAACCTATTGTTTTAATTAGAAAGAACTGAATAGGGTAAACTTGTGTGTTGATGGCTGTTTCCAAGACCACTAATCCACGTGTTTTAAAATACAGAGAGGCTAATAAAACTCGTAAAGAAGCTAAAAAAGCCAAGGCTGCTAACAAGAAACCAACTAAGGAAATCAAACAAAAAGAAATGGCTCCAATCACTCGTGAAATGACCATTCACATGCACGCTTATCTTCATAAAGAATCATTCAAGAAGAGAGCTCCAAAGGCCATCAAAATCATTAGATTCCTTGCTATTAAAACTATGAAAACACACGTTGTAAAATTCGATATGGGATTAAATCAATTCATTTGGAGCCAAGGTATTAGATCAGTTGCTGACAGAATTAGAGTCAGAATGGCAAGACTTCCAATTGAAGGTGAAGAAGGAAAATTCTATACCCTCGTTTCATATGTTCCAGTAGCTAGTTTCAAAGGTCTCGTAACTAAAACCGTAGAAGAAGCTGAAAATTAAATTTGAATTCTTGAGGTTGTTTGCCATTTCTTTTAAGGGTTTTTTGTTATTTTATAAAATATAATTAAAGTTGTAATTTCATTTTGTAAAAATCTTAATTAGAATAATTCCTTTAAAGATGGAGAGAAATAATCTTTTATTTGAATGTCATAACTTTCTGATGATACCTCTGCATCACTAATTAACACACTCTTAAAACCTGCTTTTTTTACATTGGTCAATGCTAAAACTGAATCTTCAAAAACTACAGTATCATTAATGTCATGACCTAAACGATGAGACGCCTCAACATAAATATCCACAGCAGGTTTACAATGTTTTACATCACTTCCAACAACTATTGTTTGTATACAGTGTGAAATGTCATGTTTTTTAAGAAATTCTTGAATTGTTGGGACAGTACTTGAAGATGCAATGGCAATAGGAATATTTTTTTTATGAACCTCGATAATAAATTCTATAACCCCTTTTATTGGTGGGGAAGTCAATGTGCCTTCTCTTGAATTATCAACAAAATAACGTGTCAAAGAATCTACAGTAAAGTGATCGTTCAAGTGTTTGAATAAAGAGAGGTAGTTTGTAGCAACACTTCTTACTGAACCAACATAAATTCTGTCTTTCTTTTCTTGGGATAATATGATGTCATATTTCTGATCAAATGCTTTATACATATTAATCCAAGCACTCATCCCATCAACAATTGTTCCATCAAAATCCATGACAATAGCCTTATACTTCATGAAACTAAAAACTAACGATTTATGATTTTTTGAAAAATTTTATTTTCTTTTAGTTTTAGATGAAAAGTTGTATTAACAACAAGATAGGAGTCAATCTTATCAAATTAATGAAAAAGCATCTTTTATTTTAGATATCTTTATTTGTAATGAAACAAGGCCATTTTCTGTTGAGACTATTCCAACCTCTTTTAGCCTTTTTAGTGCTTGAGAGAATGATGAATAAGAAATATCTCCAAATTTGATTCTAACAGAATCTAATAAAGCAGACTCAGAAGTATTGCCTGTGTCAACTAAAGTAATGCATATATTCTTTTGAAATGTGTTTAACTTCTTAAAAATTTCCATCCGGACTTTTTCTCGTGTTTTCTTTTTTGCTTGAATTACTGTTGGGATATATTCTTTAAACCAAGGAATGTTTGGTGCCCATTTTTCACCCACAACAGAGTTTAATACCATTCTCATTTGAAGAAGTTCTGATAATGAAAAAAGATAGGGACCATCAACAGTGTTTGTATTGAGAATAAACCTACAAGTTGGTAATGATGATATTATTCGAGGAAGAAAGTGAAGAAAATACTTTGGGTTATTTAACAAGAATGGAGTATCAATGTCATTTAACATAAAGATAAACGGGCGTTGATTTATAGTTTTCACAGTAAGAGAATTAAGTAAAGACTGAACATCATCACTAGTCTTATTACTAAAGTCAAATTGAGTAAAGATGTTATATGCTCTATTTACAATTTTAAATAACACATTTGAACATTCATTTTCTGATGATAATATTCCACATTCAAATTTCACAGGCTTAATTACTCTCGACTTCTCAAATCGAGTTTTTACTTTAATAAAAAAGTCCCTTTTACAACCAATTCCATAATTTAGTAAATTATGGACAACAAGTATTGGAGGCACATTCTTAAAATTTATATAAAAAGAGTTTGTTTGGTACTGTTGTTGTTCATTAGGTTTAACGTCATATTTATTTAAGTCAATATTAAATGGTTGTCTTCTATTGCACTTAGCAATAGAAATAAATGGGGAAGAAATCGATTCGCTATGTCTCATAAGAAGAACAACATTCTTGTTATCCATAAGTATTGAAATTATGAGAAAAAAAATTAAGTTTTCTAAAAAATAAAAATATGAAAATGAGAAACGAAAAAGAGTAAAAAAAAAAAGAACTTAATTTTTTCATTCTTATGTCTAAACCAGTGATTTCAGTAAACGTTTGTTTTAATAATACTTACTAGTAGTAAAATTACTTATTTGTTTTTTTTAGGTTGTTATTGTTGGGGCTTCTGCAGTTGGTAAAACATCACTTTCAAATCAATTAGTAAATGTTTGTTGTATGATTAAAGTAAATGAGTTTTGTTATTTATTAATTTAGAATATATTTAGCGAAGATTACACCTCTACTGCTGGAATGGATTTGTTTCAAGACACAATGGAAATGCCTGACTGTTCTGTTAGTTTAACTCTAAGAGACACTTGTGGACAAGAGCAATACAAATCATTGGCAAGTCAATACTATCGTGAAACACAAGGAGCACTTATTGTTTATGATATTACGAATCGTGATTCATTTGACTATCTTCAAGATTGGATTGATGACGTTTCTATGTACTGTCCTCAAGGAGTTAAAATAGTTCTTGTTGGAAACAAAGTTGATCTTGAAAATGATGCCCGTGCAGTAACTACTGCAGAAGGACAACAATTCGCTTCTGAAGGTGGTTATGCTTTCTTTGAAACATCTGCTAAACTGAATATTAAAGTTGAAGAAGCTTTTCGTGAATTAGTCACAAGAATTGTACAAGCAGAACACACCAACCCAGCACAAGTCGCTCAATCATCACAAGACCGTGTTCAAATCACCACTCAAAAATCAACCCCAGAAGAGAAAAAGTCTTGTTGTTAAGTGAATACTACACAGCAAAAATTGTTCTCATTTTCCTCTCTGATTCTTTATTTTCTTAAGTTCTTAATTATTTTTTCAATAACTTAATTAACGAAACTATAAATTTTTAAAAAAACTTAAAAACAGAAAAGAACTTAAAAATGAAAAGAACTCATTTATGACTGCAAAGATTAATAAAGTTATTAAAATTGGACTAGTCGGAGATGGGGCTGTTGGAAAAACTACATTTTTATTATCTTATACGTCACAATCATTTTTGACTGAATATACACCAACTATCTTTGATAACTTCTGTCAAATAGAACCTGTAGGAAATGATATATTTAATGTTTCGTTATGGGACACAGCTGGACAAGATGAATATTCTTCATACCGTGCTGGGTGTTATAACAATTGTAATTTTGATGTATTTTTGTTATGCTTTAGTGTAACACAACGATCATCATTTAGAAATATTAAAAACAAATGGATTATCGAATTAAGAAAATACGCACCCACTGTTCCAGTTATTGTTGTTGGCACTCAAGTTGATTTAAGAGAAGACAATAACAAAGATCATATTTCAAAAAAAGAAGGTGAAAAAATGGCTAAAGAGTTAAAAGCTAAAAGGTATGTTGAGTGTACTTCAAAAGATTATGAAACAACACATAATGTTGTATTAGCAGCTATTGAAGACTTTTTAGAAAAAGAAAGAGAGGTGAGTGCAAAACTCAGAAAACTATATCAAAAGGATATTGATGAAGAAGAAAAGATGATGAAATTAATAAAAAAGGAAATGGAAAAACAAAAGGCAATGAAAAAGGAAAACAACTCAACCAGTCCAAGAGAACAATCAAAAAGTGAAGAAAAAAAGGAAGAACAAACAACGACACCTTCTGAACAAAAATAAAAAAAACAAATTGTTTAAAAGGTATTTAAAAAATACTCATTGAAAGATGATAAATTTATCCCTTTTTAATTTTTTTTTAAGATTATATTTAAATTAATATAATAATTTAAATATTTAATAATAAAAAAATATACTAAATATTTTTGTCTTTTTAAATTTTAAATTA